TATTTCAAGAGGTTTAAACTAGGTTTTTCAAATTGCTTTACTCAAGTTTTTAGAAATACAGAGAAAAATATAAAGTAGTGACGCTAGTTCTATGAAGACTAAATTTCACTCACATAATAATTCGAAAAATATTCTCTGGTTGTTTTGATTTATTCTATCACTTTGTGTTGGCAGGACCATAAAGTACACCTTATGCGTTCGTTAGTAAATAAATTTCGAAAATAAGAAATTTAAGAACGTTATACAAAATGTTTTTGTTTTTTTATCCTTTTGAAATTTAAATGTAATTTATGCATAATCTAATTTCAGTTAATATTTTCTATATGAAAGACATATTATGCTAGAAATATGCGTAGCTTATGCAGTATAATAACGATAATGCTAAAATATAAAACTTCTTTTTTACAAAAATTCAAATGTTCTTCTCGTTATCCTTTAATGCAGCAATTTTAATGTTGTATTTATCGTATTATATACTTTACATTACATTGTGCAATTTTATAACTATTATTCTTGCATCCTGAATATTATAGAAAATATTATGTTTTCCCACAAAAACAACAAAACTTTCAAACAACTTTAAGTATAAATCACCCATTGGTAAGAGATATTCTATGGAAAATATTATTCAATATTCTTGTACATATACGATACTCGTATAAATTGTTATCCTTTTAAAAATCCTTATTATTTTTATTATTTTTGAATAAAAATGAATATTATTTTGAAATATTTTTAAAGATTTAAGGATATTTTTCTTATTTATGTAGATTTAGGATCTTTATTTTTTTTTTCAATAATTCATAAGGAATTTTTTTTTTTGAGTAAACAATAAAAATACGATAAAAAATAATAATTTTAAGAATATGAATTTAATCGGGAACAAAACAAAGATAAATTTCTATAATCATTTTTATTTTTAAAAATTTTCTCAATCATCAGGGACGGCATATTTTGGATATCTCAAAATTTTATATTATTTAAATAAATAGAACAGTTAATTTTATTTTGCATATTTTCTTTGAAATTCGAAAAACAAAAGAGTATGAATTTTAATAAAAACAAGAAAAAAAACAAAAGGAAAGGAGATTTTTGAATATTAATATGAAGGTAAAAAGGAATATTCTGACCTTCTGGAAAAGCTACCACGTTGGCTCTCTCCTAGATGTTATTATGATTTCTAAAGGACATTTTTATTAAATTCGTTTTTTTTCTTCTCAAGATTTTATTTAAATTTAGTCTATATAAAACAGGTTATATTTCTAATGTTATCCTTTTTATACAAAGTATTTTGCTTTCGGGACTCATTGAATAAATTAATAAAATAAATTAAAGAAAACAATTTTAATTATTCAAAGATGTTGTAATAAGAAAAAAACAAATTTAATTTTGTTCCGTCCATTTCAAATTTGTATATTTGATTTGCTGTTTTTGTTCTTAGCATCGAGGATTCACTCAAACATGTGCTTGAATTATTTTTTTCAGATTAGATTGTATAAAAATAAATAGAAGATAAATAGGGTAGTTCAAAAAATACATCACTGTTATGATGTAACTATGGAGTAACAAAGTGACGCGGACTAGATTTGTAGATTTATTTGTAGAACTGGAGTAACACTGCACCACGTATAGCGATTTATTGACGTCCGCTGCCCTGGTTAACTCAAGCAACTTTTGAGACACTGATGACCACAACTCCGTCGCAGTTAGAGTAAAATCGCCCAGTATTTCCCTTCTCCCGCGAGCGACAGCAACACACTCTCCAAGAATGTGTACTGAAGTCTCTCTATCTTCAACCTGCTGACATGTTCCAAGGCCTGCTGCAAACCGACAAGGCCACGGTGAGAGTTCGTGTCATGATCTCCCAAAAGCTGTTCGGCGTGCCGCAGTCCCGGAAAACTTCTCCAGCGCTTCAAGCGCCCCTCCCTTATTCCTTTCTTAGTTCCCAATGGGTAGTACTTGGTCTGATTCCGCAGAAAAACTCCAACCCTAGCAAGGGTGTGATGCTCCACCTCCTCGCCAGCGCATCAGCTGCCTCATTTCCTTCCACGCCCACATGACCTGGCGTCTAGAACAAAGTGACCCGGTTCCGACAACTCAATTCATTGAATGGAGTGATACGGATTAAAATTTTTTCTAGCTTCAAATTAAGCATAGTTAATTGTTACAATGTATGTTATTATTTATTATGGACGTACTTTTGGGTGTCGAAATTAAATTAGTCTCTGGACTAGAAGCAATGATATATTTTATATTAAGGTGCAAATTAAATCATTCTCAATAACCGTAACCAGCCATCATTTGTGGTAATCCTTCCATGTTAAAGAATGAGACCGACCCTTCTTAATATTAATAAAGCACCGCGATAAGCATATATGTGACTCCAAGCGGCCAAAGTATAGAACTATCACACAAAATATGTGTGATAACTAAGAAAAAATAATAATAATAAAAAGTACAAAAAAATCGTCTTCGAATGTGGTCGTATTCAGAATCCACGAGAATACAACATTTTACCTAGAAATTAGAATTAAATACAAGATTTAAAAATATAAAAATTTAGTGATGTATTAACGATACATGAACATACATAAAATAATAGGGTACACTTGCATATTAAATATTTCTATGTACTATATGTGAATATGTAGTGGATAGGTTTATTTGTTTACTTAGATATTGATCCTAAAATAGGTTGCTTCAAAGCGAACACTTATATAAAATTTTGTACAATCCAAGTTTTAAAAGGAATATTTTCAAATACATATAAGACAAGTATACATAAAGAAAATTTGTTATATATATACACGTGCTCTACTCTATAAGTAATACGAATGTGTTTGTAGAAGCAAAGTACAAGCAAACCTAGGGATATGTATGCAAAAGTTTACTTTAATGTTTAATAAAAAATATATTTTTATTTTAAGTTAGTAAAAAGCAAAATAAGAATTTAACCTTTAAGATTTTGTCAGTATGTTACTTTAATATAGGTGTGTTTTTATGCATATATAGATATATAGATGTTATATATATAGGGACAAAGGAATATAGGTATTCAAGAACCGTAAAATGCGGATACATGAAATGTGTGTGACATAATGTTTAACACGTGTATAGAATGATTGTTGAATCTCAGTAAAAATTCAAGTGGTAAATAAAATAAAATATGAAATAAAAACTTATAATAAAAATGTAGGAATATATTATAAAAAATTATGTAAATTCTGTTGTTGTAGACAAAATTTTATAGATGTTAAGTTTATAACTCAAATTTTTCTTGTATTCTAAAACTCAAATTAAGTTTACGAATAATATTGAAGTTGAGAAATTGAGCGGAGAAATACTATAAAAACTTTAATATTAATTTTTCTGTTTATTAATTTTAAAGCAAGAAAGCGACAGTTAAAAACATTAAGAAACAATATTATTATAAGTTAACCATTAAGTATCACCAGGCCTGATTCTGATTTGTTTGGGGCCTTATGTAGTTTGCAAAGAGTGCCCTCATCTTGCATTCAAAGCAATGAACAATATCAACAGCCATTGCACATTTCGCATAACAATCGCGCCCCAATTTTCCGGCGCTCATTGCATATTCTTACTTTGCATAGGTTGCAAAACAGAGCAAAAAATACAAATTGGAAGTGAACGTTCACACAAAATATAAATTTCACTTGCATTGCTTTAGAAAATATCATATTAGAGAAAATGAACTGTAAATTATGAAGGCGGACAAAATAGTAAGCCGATTTATATTTCGTAAACAGAAAGTATAATGAGTAAAAAATGTACTAGTGCGGTAGTGAATTATAAATATTATAATAAGCATACTACTTGTACCTCCAAGCTGCGTTACTCTTTGTTTAACTATTTCTCAAAAATATCTCATACTTATAATTATCACATATGATAATTTCATTTGTAATGTTATGCCAATTTTATGTTATAGAAATCTTCTTTATAATTAACTTTCATTTTGATTAGAGACCGCATTTCATACAGTAAGAGAGGTTATGTGATGGCAGCAAATATCGGATGTCGAGTTTTCTGTGGGAACGCACTTCTCCATAGTAGGGAATCGTAATTAAACTATTTTTAGAAAGTTATTGGTCTATCGGTTTGTTGGGATGTCGGTTTGTGTATGTCTCAAGTTCGACTGAACCGATTTTGATGAAATTTTATAAGTTAGTTTATTTTGGCTATGGCGCGGTTAGTCAATTTTTGGGATATATCAGACTTTAGAAACTAGACTTTTATGAGGGCCGATTTTATATTTTTGCGTATATGAAGAGAAATCATCGACCAATTTCCCTGAAATTTAATATTTAAATCTGAGGTGTTAAAAGAGTGAATTTAGAAGGTTTTTGCAAAGATCGGGGCTCAGAAACTGAAACATTTTTTACCATCTCTGCAGAACGGATCGATGAGATTTCTTCAAATTTGATGTTTGAGTTCTGGCTGTTATCGAAACTAATTGGTGAAGTTAGTTTTCGAGCCCTTTTCAGGGAACTCGGATGGCACAAAGCGAATTGTACTTAGAGCCCAATTTACACTTTTCTAGCTATGTTAACTAAAAACTTGTTAACTTCATTAAAATCTTCTGTAACACTTTCACTTACAACTAGACAACACACATTGCAGTCTGTTATGTGCTGACTACATCAGATTTTTTTTTATTACATTTTTAATTAAAGTATGTGCTTTATATTTTACTAAGGCTATTAAATTTTAATTATATTTGTTTATAGAAATTAGTAGTTTGATTTGAAATTATTTTAAGCAACTGTATGAGAAATTTTTTTCCAGTATTCAACTAATATCGGAATAGTGTTTAACTTAAAATTCACTCATATCATAATCTTTTCTTCAATTTGAAATATTTTATATGAAAAGAACGGCAATATTCGGGAATAGAATGAAAAACTCAATTTATATTTTGATTTTATTTATTTTATTACCAAATTTATGTTTAAATCAAGAAATATGTGTATGTACTTTAGAATTTGCACCAATTTGTGGAACAGATGGTAAAACCTATTTAAATAGTTGTATACTAGGGTGTACAAATCGTGATAAATATTTACGAAAACAACCAACTGTAGGAATCGTTCATAACGGACTTTGTGAAGGTGCATATGATTTTAGAAATCGTACAAAAATTTAAAAATTAAGGATTTAAAAATTTAAATTTAATAAGATTCGAGTATAATTATATAGATTCGCAATTGGAAATAATGATTTGTAATGAATTGTAATTTGGTAAATAAAAAAATTAAAAATATTTCCACCTCCAAGAGTTACTTTGAATATTTTTTCCTGAACACTCTAAAATTTGATTACTTAAAGGCAAAATTCATCAATTTTATTTGAAAAGAATGCGTGACTAATTAAATTTTTCTGTTCATGGTATTCTTTTTAACTTTTAATTTTAACTTTTAATTTTTATAGGGCGCTGACTTCTTCAATTGCAAAACACCAAATTTGTAGCAAATTACAAACTAGGTAAATTTATTTTCTTCTTAATTTTAGAAAAGCAAAAGTGACGATTTATGAATGCTGAAATCACAAAAAAGTTTGCAAAACAGTCATTAAATAATTAAATTTGTAATTCGTCTGTGAGTCTAATTACTTTTATTTTTTCCTTTACTTCTTTAGACAAGACAGGATGCAGAATTTTTTTTTTATTTTTTTTTGCTTTTCGCTCAAGTTTCGGAGAGAAGTGACGATGATTTTCAGTTTTAATAAGGTTAAAGTACAAAACTTTTTTGCCTTTAATAAGGAAAACGAAAAAAAAAAACTTTAAACGATTTTATAGCAGCGAATGGTTACTTTCAAAGTTTATGGCATAAATTATAATGACTATAAGGAATTTAAATGAGGGTCAAAATTAGAGGATATCAATTCTAAGAAATAATTCCATTTTCTTTTTTTTGTGTAAAAAATTGGTTGCTCTGATGAAATGAATTTTAATTGTTGATGTCACCGAATTGAGTTAATTTATATAAAATTAATATGTACCCACAACTATAGGTTTCCATAGGTTCGAAGAATTTGGATTTTAGTTCAAATATTGCCGTATCCGTTCCCGTACTGATTTTTGTCCATCAGCGTAGTTGTTTGTGTATAGTCTCACAGGCTAACCAGAAAAGTCATAGTTCCAATTCATTCAGTTGTTCAGCAACGAGCAAAAATTTTTCCTCCTCTAGGTACGATGTCATCTCTAGGCATCGCCAGGAGTGGAATACCTTCACAAGATGATCCCGATCACTTACCCCAATTCAACTCCATTTCTTCCCAATCAGAAATTTACTTCCTTATAAACCAAGATTTACTTTTTACAAAATAGTTTAGCGGTCGACTGACAATCAAATTCAAAAGAAAATTTGAATGCCGAAATCTTTATTAGGCGAAGGTAACATGAAGAATTAAAATACATAAAAATTTATTGTGCGTGTTTTGCAAATTTCTCAAAACCACAAAACAAAAATAAAAAACCCCATGAACCTAACAATAAATTTTAATAATTTTAACATTGTTATATTATGAAAATTAAGAACAATTGGTTTTCTTCACGATGGGTGGTCCATTACAATGTATACGTATTAGGTCAATATTGTAATTACTTTAATATTATAAATTAATGGTTTCCATATATAAATTCAGGAGCACATCAAAAATAAGTTCATAAATTGCTGAAATAAATTCTCTCGTATTGTTTATATACAAAATGTACATATATTTTTATCATGAATGTTTATGTGCCTAGATATGTATAAGCATATCTACAATTTATCAATTTTCTATAGCCGCATATTATGTGTATGTGTATATAATATGATAATATTTACAATTTGAACTCAAAATATTTTGTTCAGCAATCAAAAAAAATTTCACTCATTTTATTAGATTCAGCTAAGTAAAAAAATAATAATATTTTCTCCTAAATCTGCTAAAAGAGATATTTTTGTGTTAGAGTTTATTTAAGAAAAGTAGACAGGTGAAATGAAATAAGTCCTAATATGGCATCATTGTAGTATTTTAAAAGCAACCTATGTTTAATATTATGTCATTAGAAATTTTTGTTAAATAATTTTTAATTGAACTAAAATTTAATTTAATATTATTAATAATAATTGATTAAATTAAAAGTATTAATTCTGGTCTACATTATTATAACAGCAAGTGCAGATGTAGTCAAAACATCTTTTTAGTTGAGTTCTGTTTCAAGACTGATTTATTTCATTATTCAATACATATTCTTACAATCTATTATAGTGTATTTATGTTCTATGTATTTGTGTAATGTAAGCAGCCAGTGTTTCCACATCATATACCCTTCAAACATTTCTTCCTGCGAATATATGCTTTGCGTCAAACTGTGTGCCTACAATTATCTTAAATATGAACACAATAAATCTGAGTGTCATTTATATGAGCGGAAACAAATCAAATTCTGTATTTTATGATAATTTACTCTTTACTCAAAATTAGGTGCATTCCATTTATTACTCTCAATATCACTAAAATCTTCTCTACAAAAATTTATTTTCATAATATTTACTCATTAAAAATTATTTTATAAAATTTTCGCCTTTATTTCTTTGGTTCATTTTTCCACATAAAATTTTTAGTGAAATAGAAAATTTCAGGTAATAAAAAAATAAATTCTTTCTCTCAAAATAAAATTTTTCACTCAAAATACAATATGAGTTTATTCGGTAATGTAATAATATTAAAATTGTTAGCATAGTTACAAATAGTACATTAATTTTCTCTTTTATCTTTTAAGGGAATACAATCCATAACAAAATCTATATTATTGTGGTAAGGCTATGCAATGGGTTGACTGAACGGAACAATTTTGTGAGAGAATTTTTTTCCCCTTAAATAAATCTGTTTAATTTATCTTCTTTATTGTTGCTTTTTACAATAAAAAAAATATAATCAGTTGCAAGCCAATTTTCTTGTCTGCGTCATGACAGTATATTTTGAAGTCTGCAAAATTAAAAATATTATTAAAAAAAAAATACAAAAGAAAAACGTGTAACATTAAAATAATTTAATAATATTAAAAAGACGTGATTTTCTCTGTCTGGATATTTTATTTTTAATTAAAATAACAAAAAAAAATATTTGTTCTATATTAAAAAGCAAAAAGAAAATATTAAAGTGCAATAAATTTTAAGAAAATAAAAAAGTAAAAGTAAAAAAAAGCAATAATTTTTTTCCTTTTGTGTGTCTCTTTGGATTTTCTAGAAAAATAATATCAAAAATTTAATAAACACTTGCCGTCCCGTGCCACAATAAAATAGTGTAATACTCATATAACTTTATTGTTATTTATTTTTGTTGCTTTTTTGACATATATTTTGGAAATTTTGGCGGCTTTTAAACTTACAATATTCTCAATATAAGAAAATTCTTAAATTTTATACAGCAATGTTGTATAATAACAATGCATAGACATAAGCAAAGAATTTCATAAAGTATATGAAGGTATGTATGTACATATTTACGCATATGTGAACATTTGTATGTGTTTATATTTTCAATTATTCTTTCAGTAGAGTGTATAAGTCCGTACATATATTTGAGCTGAAAATAATGTATACAATAATGTTGCTAAAAATTTATTTTGACATTTTGATTATTTTTGTATTTATTTATTTGAGTAAGTAGTACTAAAATTGTATAGTGTTTATTTTTTTTGAAAATGATTTCTATATTTTCAATATTTTATGAAATAGCTAGTTTTAATTTTTTTTGTGGAAAATTTTTTTTAAATGAAAATTTTATATTGTTATTTTATTCAAATACACAAGTATTAGAAGCTGTCTAAACATTCCAAATTATATGTAAAAAGAATTAATTTACTTGCGTTCTATATAGTTAAAATGTAAATTTTTAAAGCTGTTAAAAATCATTGAGAGACAAAGATAAGCGACACATCAAGATACGCTCCTTGCGGTAGACGCGCTGACTCATTCACAATATCGCAAGACAATCTGCCATTTCATTACCCCGTATCCCGCTGTGATCGGGAACCTAGCACACAGTCACCCTGCACATATTGCAAAGTGCCCCAAGTGCCCTTCTGAATCGACTCAACAAAGCCGACCCAACCGAGGGCCCCAATCGCCGCCTTACTATCCACGAAAATTGCCAGCTCGCATTTAGTGAGAGATAATTTCGCCGCCATGAGCACCGCCAAAATCTCTGCCTGGAAAGCCCTACATCCATCAGGCAGCCAAATCGATAGCTCTATCCCCAACTCCTCTCAGAAAATCCCAGAAGACCTCAAGGCATCCCTCGCAGCCACTGCTTTCACCTGCTCATTCACCGGATCGAAGTCGAGAATAACCTCCAAATCCGAAGTGACTGTAGTACGCAATGTACCAGTCACCCCAACACATGCCATACGCTGCACCCTCTCCAACTTCCTTCTTCCCTTATCTCGAGGGGGAGGCCTATGTCAGAATAGGCCTAACCACACACTCATACAACCAGTCGAGGACTCACTCCCCAACGTTTACCAGCCGCAATGATTTTTTGTATAATGTACCAAGGAGTTCCGAACCATTTTCGTTCACATACCCTTTCGATAAGCGCTTCTTGTGTTGGAGATACCAATTTCAGGTTAAGGTTGCTCCCTATGTATGCGTCTAATAGCTTTTCAAGTGTCTTTAGTAGAAATGATGATAAACTGATGACAGGCTTAAAATTCTTTGGACAGCTATGAGAGCTTGTTCCAGTTATAGAAATGGAGATGGGTCTCCATATTCTTGGAATGTAAACTGGGTCTATACAGTACTAAGAGATAATTTTAGCCAGCGAAACTAAAAAACTTCAGAAATGGATGGCCCCCAAAAAATCAATAAAAAAGCACTAGTTTCAATTTTCACAATGTCCACATGTTTGATATACATGAACAGAAATAATTAAACAATACTCGTGATAAATAAATTGTCAAGTTTAAAATATTAAGTTTTTGTTTTTTCATTCGAATATTTTCAACTAATTAGAAAGATTTATAGATTTTTAAATGTATCGGAAGTCAATTTTGATTTTACGTAGGTGGTAACATATAAATTAATAACAATAATACCAGTTTTTTTTCTTTTAAATTATTTAAATAAATATTTCTATTTATTTACTAAATGAAATGTTTATTTAAAAAAATAAAATGTGTAAATGAGAAGTTTATTTTTATTAGTATATATAGAAATTTTTTAAATAAATAATCTATTGATTTTAGATTTTATATTGGTAAAATAAATTAGACATTATTACTAAGTAAGTATGAGATTTTCTATATGAAAATTCTAGTGTAATGCAGTTAATTGTATACGAACGAAAAAGGTGAAAGCAGTAGCAAAAAATTGAAATTTTTTTCTCATACTGGACAATAGAATTTTGTATTTGAATCCTAGACCCTTATTTGAAGGAAAATTAAATAGCTTATTTAAATAGAGAAAATATTATTTTTTAAATGTTTGTGAAGAAGATATTCAATTCTTTTCTTACCTTAAGTTAAGTTATTTACTACAGTTTTGTATGCGAGTATAGGAATTTATTTTTCCTAATTTTTTCAGGAAAAGGGTTGATTGTAGATAGCTTTAGCATAGGCGTAATTTTGTTTTAATTTCAATTATTTTGTATAAAAATTTTTTCATTAATTCTTATACAATTATAAGATTTTAACTACACATTTACACATGAACTCATTTAACTTTGGTTACTATTTTAAACAATTTATAATTTTTTTTTAAATTATTGTTTCAAAACAAATTTATAATAAATTAATAATTTTTAAATAAGTAAAATATTTGATGCGAAGGTTACAGATTACATGTTGTAATTTGTTGATTACTTAGCATTTAGATCTACTCATCCACGAAAAATTATTTCATTCACTTAAAAAAAAAAGTTTAAATTAGGATTACAAATCAAAAACTATTCATAAATATTTAACACTACTTAATTACAATATTTTTTTAAAAATAATTAACAAATAAACATAATTATTTAATCTGGATGACAATTTCTTTTTTAAAACTAATTACAAACATTTTATTAAATTATTTAATTAACAAGAAAAAAAAAATATTAAATGTAAAAACACAGATTACAATAAATTAATTCACTATTAAAAAAAAAACAAACAAATGGAAAAAAATCTTTAATAAAAAACATAAACAATAGAAGGTGATTAAAATCTTTTCCGGCGATCACTTATCAACTAAAAGTGAATAACATTATTTAATTTTGTTAACCATTAATACCAAAGCGTTAAACTCTCAATGTTCGCTCTCAGTCAGAGCGAAGTAGCGTTGAAAAAAAATAAGGAGAAAGAGAGAGAGAACAGCATGGAGAAAATAAGATTACCCTTCAAAAATAATATCAAAAAATTATCATTGTTTTTTTTTTTCATAAACCATTCGTTTAAATTGCTCAACCACTCAATGCAATGTTCTTGCCTGTTAAATAGTTAGTGACTTAGTGTTATGATGAATGACTATAGAACAGGAAGAGAACAAGGAGAATGCAACAATACTCAATTTGTTTATTTTAATACTCAATTTAATTGCTTTGAAATACGTTTGACGTATAAAATTTTGGAATTCAATTTTGTTTTTATTCAGTAATTAATTAAATATATAAAAGGGAAGACATATAAAACGCTTTGTACTATTTTCCATTTCAATATTTTACGGAGTTTATTTATTAAACAAAATTTAAAAAAAAAATTTTATCAAAAAGTCAAATAAAATGTAAATTAAAAGTAATATTTAAAAATTTTATTGTTGATTTTCAGAAATTAAAAATTTGATCCACTTAGACTAAAATTAGAGAATCATTTTAGATCTCACTATACACAGGAAGTTCCAAAAAAAAAAAAGAATTGAAATAAATCTAGAACTTAAATAGCTAATTATGTTTATGAAAGTGATATTAAATTACATAATTCTTTTAAATGGAATTCTAATTCAAAATGTTGTGTCTTCAAACGATACCCAGTCTGATGATATTGTTAATGATTGGTGGAAATCAATGGTTTTATATCAAATCTATCCAAGATCATTTAAAGACAGTAATGGTGATGGAATTGGTGATCTTAGAGGTATAAAATAATTTTATTATCAATTCAATAAAAATTAATTTCTTTATTAGATTAATAAAATTGTGGAATTTATATGCAGGTATTATAGGAAAATTAAGTCATTTAAAAGATTCTGGTATTAGAGCAGCATGGTTAAGTCCTATTTTTGAATCACCAATGGCTGATTTCGGTTATGATATATCAAATTTTATGGCAATTGAATCTGATTATGGTACAATGAAAGATTTTGAAGATTTACTAGAGGAAGCTAATAAATTAGGTATTCAAATTTAAATACATTTACTTTCACTTTCATGCTAAAATTCATTTTTTTATTTTTTTATATTTTAGATATTAAAATTTTGTTAGATTTTGTTCCAAACCATTCGTCAGACAAATGTGAATGGTTTATAAAATCAATTAATCGTGTACCAGATTATGAAGATTTTTATATATGGGCAGATCCGATTATTGATAAAGATGGAAAACATCATCCACCAAATAATTGGGTAACATATAAAATTTTGTTAAAATAAAAATTTTAGAACAAATACGAAATTATTTTAGATATCTGTATTTTATGGTCCTGCTTGGACTTATAATGAAATACGCCAACAATATTATTTACATCAATTCACATCTGGACAACCTGATTTAAATTATCGAAATCCTAAAGTTATTCAAACTATGGATAATGTATTAAAATTTTGGTTAGATAAAGGTGTTGCTGGTTTTCGTGTTGATGCCGTTAATCATATGTTTGAAGTTGAAAATTTACTTGATGAACCATTAAGTGGAAAATCTACTGATCCGAAAAGTTATGATTATTTAAATCATTGGCATACAACAAATTTGGTAATATCGTTATGTTTGAGAATATTGTTAATAAAATTAATTTTCTACTTTAATTTTTTTAGAAAGAAAGCTATGAAATGATTTATCATTGGAGAGATTTATTAAATAAATATAAAGAAGAAAATGGTGGTGATACTAGAATTTTATGTACAGAAGCTTATGCAAATATATCATTTACTGTTGATTATTATGAAGATATTAATGGACGGCAAGGATCTCAAATACCTTTTAATTTTTTATTAATTGGTGAACTTAATGAAAATTCAGATGCAAGAGATTTTATATATACAATAAGTAAATGGTTAATATATATGCCTAGAAATGGTATAGCAAATTGGGTTATTGGAAATCATGATAATCCAAGAGCTGGAAGTCGTTTTGGTATAGAGAAAATTGATCAAATGAATATGTTAATAATGACATTGCCTGGAATTGCTGTCACTTATAATGTAAATATTATTTTAATTCATTAATATAATTTGATTAAATTAAAAAATTATTTATGTTTTAGGGTGAAGAAATTGGTATGATAGATTATAGAGAGATAACATGGGAGGAAACAAAAGATCCAGCTGCTTTAAATACAAATAAAGAAGTTTATAAAAAATATTCAAGAGATCCAGAAAGAACACCATTTCAATGGGATGATTCAAAGAATGCTGGTATTTTTGTTTTAGTTTCTCAATTATATTGAATTAGAGATTTTATTTTATATACAAACAATCTGAGATCAAATACAATATTTCATTTTAAAGAAATTTCAAAGAAATTTTAACAAGGACGTGTATGAAAATAAAGTTGTTTTAACTTTTCTAAGTATTTTAAAATTTTAAATAATTCTAATGGTCATTATAATTTATGACTTGTTGAATTTTTTAAATTTTCCTATAAATCTTTACTATCCAGTTAGTTTGTATATAAAATTCTCTTTAGGCGACTGAATTTTTGTCTAAATTTGAATAAATTAAAAAAAATGTTTCTTTGTAACTCAGAACAATTTATAAAATTACTAATTTTTCTCTCTTGTTCTTTACGCAAAACTAAATAACAAACTAAAAAAAAAAAAAGGATTCTCCGTCGGGGATACAACATGGTTGCCAGTCAACCCTAATTATAAAAATTTAAATTTAAAAAAAGAAATTGAAGAAAAACGAAGTCATTATCAACTTTATAAAAAATTGGTTAGTTTACGAAAGTTACCAACCTTGAGGAATGGAAATTTTTATCCTTTGGCGTTAAATCGAAATGTTTTAGCATATAAAAGGTAAGTAAAACTATATTGGATACAGTGGAATTGAATAAAACTAAGAGAAAATAAAAAAATATTCTAACCAGAAAAAAAGGATAATTTGTCCTTTTTCTCTTGTTTTCTTTATCTATCTGTGTATTATTCTACTCTTAGTATAATGTTACTTTGACATTTAGTAAAATAAATAATATGAAAGGATAAAAAATAATATTTAAAAATGTTTTTTTACAAAATTTTAGTAGACAGAAGCAAAATGCCCAAAATAAAAGCAGAAAGGAATAGTTTTTTTTTTTGTTTGCTTTTCTTTTCTCTAGATTTTTTTTTTGGCAAAATATACTTTATTTTTTGTTTTTTAATTTTTTCTTTTACAGAGAATTGGAAAATCATTGCACCATTGTCGTTGTTATAAATTTAAAAGAATTCAATGAAATTGTTGATTTAAAAATTTTAGGAAATTTACCCGAAAAATTATTAGTTTTGGCTGCTGGCAGTAATTCAGAATATGAGGAAGGGTTTGTATATTATTTTGTTTGTAATTTTACATTTGGGGTTGATTTATAAGATAATTTTCGTTTTAAAAATATTATGTAAATTGAGTAATATTTTAAATGTATTTTTTTAGTTTAGATTTGTGCTTCTGTGATCTCGTTACGTAATTATTAAAATTGAATCTACTTGAAATGTTGCTGTTTACAATTTATTGCAACATTTCGAGTTAAAATTTATGTTATAAGGGCTTAACAATACCCTTCCAAATTATATTTACATTTGAACACTTTGGTTCCATAAATCTGACAATTGATGCTTTCAATATTTTTTTTAACAATAAAATATTTCTAATTTAATATCATGAATTCATTCAATGATTTCTCCAATAATTCCACTCTTTTGTAAATTAAATTCTCCACAATTTAAAATTTTATTAAATTAAAAATTAAAATCAAAGAAAAATATCAATAGATTTTAATTAAATACAATAATAAATTGAATATATTTTTTTATTTTAGTGTTGAAATCTCAATTGATAATCTAAAACTTGGAAAATATGATTCAATTGTTTTATCATCTGACAATTGTACTATGCATGAATAACAATATTAATGTTCTAAGTGATTATCTTTATACTAATTGAATTTGATGTTGCAACGCTTTATCGCAGTAATATGAAATAATAATAATTACATAATTAATTATATAAAGATGATTTTGCATGGTGATTATTATTTTGTTATGTTATTATTTTTAACAATGAAATTTAAACACAAATACACACATTTTAATTACACTAAATTGTTGTAAACAACATTGCATGAATTCCAATATAAATATTAAATTTCATGAACTTTTAACGTAAAATAAGCACCAACTTCAATTATAGTTAGATTTTTTTGTTAAAATAGTATTAAAATAATAAATTTAAGAGTTCTATGTTGTAATAAAATAATTTTTAATTCATAAACTGCACTGGATTTACAAAATGTATTTTTGTTGTTTGGAATTGTCAAAGAAATTTGTGATTGTTTGAAAACCGTCTTTTATGATTTACATTGTTGTTGAATTAGACTTACTATGTATTTTTAATTAAGTCTGGTATATTGAACATTGTGTTTGTTTATTTTGAATATTAATTGTAAATATTGATTTTTAGTCAAATGGCATGGACACAAGCCAAGAAAATCCACAATATAAAAAATTAACACCAAAATTGGAGGATACCGTTTAATGTTTTGCTGTTTCTGTATGTCAAGAGTTTTCTTACTTGATAAAAAATGATATCAAGCATTAGCCCCATAGAAAGACCCACTTCCAAGCTTGAAATCGACAAACAGTTCTCGACTACAATAGATCTAGAGAATCCGCTAAGCTATACTAAAATTTACCTGCTTTTTTTTCGAATAATTATTGTAGTCCCGATCCAACAGAAAAACACATTGAGAACATGACTCATGTTCTCAACCATTTAAATATACTGCTAAATCCAACAGACTTCAAAGAAACTAATAGCTTCTTTTTCAATCATCTTACTCAATTCTTAGTCCTGTCCTTACTTACGGTATTTATCAACCTACTAAACTGCTACAATTCTGGGTTCACTGATAAATCTATCAAGTCGACACAACCATTCGCTCTTATCCATTCAAAGCTTCAAACTCTTTGGTGTTTATTCATTGCACTATGTTCGGGGAACCATGTATAGAGTAAAATTATTCAAGCAAAAAATCGACAGCTCTGTTCTCATCCTAAAGATGAAATCCTATAATATTGAAATTATTACAACAATATTCCATTTATTCCATTATTTATTTTAAAAAAGAAGCCTCTTTATAAAATTTTTGATGCCCGTATTTAAATAAACTTAATTTACTTAAATAACCTAGGCAACAATACAAACAAGACTGTGTAACATTGAAAATTCACCATTGCCGTCCTATTATAACATCAAAGAGCACACTTATACTATTTTAATACTCTTAATTTAAATATTTTTATTCCTTATCTCTTATCTTAATGCTTTATTCACTATATACATAAGAACATTATACTTACAGGGCCATAATTGATACCGATAAATTACATCTTTTCGGATATGACTGTTTAGTACTTCAAGGTGAAAATGTAGATTTAAAGTAAGTAATAAAATGTTAAAATATTTTTTCACTTAATTTCTATATATATGTAAGTGTAAAGTTCATTTCCATTTCCATTTTTATATTTTCGCACACACAACCATATTTTGCATTATTTTTAATAAAAAAATTTTTATAAATAATTCATCGCATGTACTAAAATTCACACAAAACACAAAAAAAAAGAAGAGAAGAGAAAAAAATTATTATCCTGTAATAATGTTTAATTCATTTTTAATGTTTTTATTATTTTTTTTTGGGAAATTTCAAGGAAAAAACGTGAAATTATCAAAACAATTATAAAAGTTGGAAATGTACTGTTGGTTAGCGTTTTAATGTTTAGACTCTGGAATAATAAATGGACAAAATTATCCTTATATCCGAAAGGAATTTAAATAACAAGCATAACAACTATATTAAGGATATTTTTTAATTTTGGTATTTTTTTTTTTTAAATTTACGCTTATTGTGGAAAAGGAAAATCGAAAAAAATGTAAATTTTTTTTAAAGGAGAAAACATGTGTATAAAAAATAATGTTATTGAATTATTTAGGAAAATGAAAAATAAAAATTATTGAAATTATTGCAAGTTTTTGGAATATGAAAACAAAAAATTAAAATGCAAAAAACAAAATAATTATTAACAAAATATTTGGTTATAAATTCAGAATTGAATGCCTAATAAAAATATTATTAATATTTAAATTTTTTTTTTGGAAAACAATAAATTTAGGGTTTCTGTCTTTGGAATTAAATTAGTGAATATGAATTACTAATCGTAAACTAGATCACTATTGGATGTTTAAAGATCACCACAACCTACCTTAAGAAATAATTTTTAATCCCTGGTTATCAAATGATTGGAACAGGTCCTACAATTCTATATGAATCAAAATCATCGTAGTATCAGTAAAGTTTCAAATTTATTTTATGTGTTTTATATTTCAGGGTTTGTTTTGTTTTTTTTTGAGCCTACTTTATTCAACCGTAAAATGAAATCAGCAGCTTAAGATAAGTAATATGCTTTAAACATTAAGTTGAAATGCTTTTAATTATACTGTTTTCATAGGATGCGGTTTCTGGCTAAATTTGTAGAAATAGAAAAATTCTGAGTAGAATTGTAGATTTGTACAACGGGGGCAAAAGTGCAGCGCGACCACGTATAGGGATCTATTGTGTGCTCCCATCCGAGTGCGGGCTACGCCCTACAACACACGCTCGAGACTCACTCTCCTGATGAACTCAAGCAACTTGTGAGGACCAGAAGACTGCAAGTATCCTAATTTTCCAGACCCAGTCGACTGAGGTGTCCCCTAAGCCTGCAGTGACTCGTCAAAATGCCGGGGAGGACCCTCACCTAGTTCTTGCCCATCCCTTAATTTTCTTAAATCGCTTCTGGTCATCCCCATAATTTTCTTAAATCGTTGCCGCAACCCCGGAAGACTGCTCCAGCGCTCCGACCGCCATCCTTCTGATTCCTTTCTTAATTCCCAACGAATAGTATGTGGTCCGATTCCGCAGAAGGGCTCCGGCCCAATAAAAGGTGTATTTACCCCCTTCCTTGCAAGCACATCAGCGACCTCATTTCCTTCCACGCCCACATGGTCCGGCATCTAGCACAGTGTGACCCGGTTGCATCTGCCCAATTCATTGAGTTTCTCAAGACACCCCCATACTGCCGCGTACGATACTAAAATTAGCGCTCCGATCGCAGCCTGGCTATCCAAATTCTGAGTATATACTAAGTTACTTGGAAAGTTCTGCAACATATACATATTTCATAAAAATCTATAGCACTAATGTCTTAGGAGATATTTGAAAAAAAAATTTTGGAAAGTTTTGAACACGTTTTCTGATTTAGTTTAAAGAGTTGGCAACTTTTTTCGTGATCGATAATAACTTACAAAATGCGGCAACAAATCTGGTAGAAATCTGTGGGATATATTAAGAGAAAAATAAAGTTAAAACAGTATAACTATAAAATTTAGTTTATTTATTTACGAAATTTTGTAACATGATCTTCTTCAGATAGAATCGGGAAATCTCACTTTTGCCCTGTCAATTTCGATTTGAATTATTTGTCATTTATTTTTTTTTGTTTTTGTAGTATTTTATCAATTGAATTATTCTAATATTATAGATTTTCGTTTTTTATATATTTTTGTTTTTAAAATAATAAAAATTTCAAAAAAAAAAACTGATTGCAAATTAAATTTTATTTATATGACAAAAAAACGTGTACGTATGTATATAATTTCCCGTACCGCCCTCATTCGTGCATATTTTCTAAATATTTCCAATTTTACATATTAATGCGTTTTTTTTGCTTTGTACATGATGAGAAATGAAATGGAAGATTATTGTAATCATTGTCATTACATATTGTAATGTACATTTATACACACACTCGTGGCACTATAATGTTATACAAGTTCAACATTTTTTGTTTAAAATTAACATTTTAAGTATTACACATGACATTATCCTTAGTGAATTTTATAAATAATCGAAATATTTGAGCTTTAATTTTGAATAAAGAAAAAAAACATCGGAATGTTTATGTGAAAAAAATGTACAGTCAATAATATGCCAATGGTTCACGAAAAAAAGCACATTTGCCCCTAACAGTTTTAGTTAAGAATTTACATAGAGAAAAAATGCAAAAAAATCGTTTTGTTGAAAAAACTATAACGCTATCATATAATTTTGCATAACTTTAGGAGGAATCTCAAAGTTAAGACATAAGGGTATAATTTTGGATAAGAAGACTGTGACTGTAAAACTCTTTGTTTTTGTAATGATACTGATAAATGTCGTTTTAAATTTGCAATTCTTTTAAGTCGCTGCCATGTTGGATTAACGGTATTTGAACCGTTAATCGAACAGATTGACATTTATAAATTTTAAAGATATATAGAAGAAATAACACTCTTAATCTTTCTCTTTTCTAGATAATTATTGCCGGCTTAAGCGCACGCTAACAATATTAAAAACTTTAATTTTTAGGACTTTTTATAGAAGCAGTTTTGTACATAGACAAATATCCGGACAGATAAAGTTAAACAGACAAACCCACATTTTTTCTAATTTCTATTTTTTTTTTTGAAGAAATGTGGCAATTACGAGCATATATATATTTATATAATACTAACGTAGAAAATAATGCCATTGAATCTTGTATGTTATTAATGTGTCTATGTATGATTAGATTATTATCATTATTTTGAACGTATTGAACTGAGTTTACACATACATACATACGTATAAGCATATTTAAATTTATTGTTAATAGGAGAAAATTTTATGTAATTACTTCTAGCTCATTGCTAAATTTTCATATATTAAGGATTAATTCAAGTGTATCATTCGTAAACATAAAAATAATTTTTTAATTATTTTTGATTTTCCGTTTTTTTTTGGTTACCATGTTTCAGTGTGATAATAATTATATGAGGATGTAAATCAGTGTAAATTTATATTTACATGAAAATAAAAAATGTTGGAATTAATAATGTTAATGCGATGTGATTCATAGGTCAAAAACATTATTATAATAATGTTGGAAAATCTGTTCAATGTTGAAATAAAAATAAAAATTCTGAAATAGATTAAGACTTCAAAATTAAATTAAATTTGAGTGATCTTTAATATGAAATTAATGAAATATTTGTAGGGAATTTCAATTTTTCATTTTTTTTTGTTATACAAGTGTTTTCGAGAGACCTAACGATAGGCGGGATTTCAACCCAACCTATAGACATATAGTTGCTCATAACAAATCTACTTTTTTTGAGGAATGTTAACTGAAAGTATGCTTGTGTCTTTGCAACTGAAAGGAACCCATTTTCATAATCTCCTGTAACATTTTCGTGGAACTAGATAACATACATTCCGGTTACGTGCTGACCACATGAAATTTTTTCTTTCATTTAAATATTTAATCGTTTTATATTGAAATCAATATAAATATAAATTTCATCAAATTTATTTCAATTTAAATAAAAAAACTATTAATGTCCAATTCCAACTGAATCCTTTTAGTCTAAATAATAATATAGATGTGGGAAAAAAATTAAGATTTATTTCATTTAACTAACTGTTTTTCTTCTCTAAATTTAACTATAGAAAATATTTAGTTATCTATTTTATTTATTTGCTTTTTTTTCATCTTAAAAAGGATTTCTTCATTTTATTTCCTATATGTTTTTGTGAATCACAAGAAAAAAAACGGAACCAAATAGAATAGAAGAAAAACTTTTAAAAATATGTTGAAAAACGCTTAAAAACATTTTTCATTCAAAGGAAAAAAACGAGAAAAAAAAAAGAGTTGACCTTGTCGACTCTGTGATATCCGTACGAATTTGCTATCCTATGTGCGAATAAAGATGTCATAACTAACTATGGGACAAACTATGACTTTAAGTTGCCGTATTACCATATTAATTTATGCAAAATTTCAGTACAATGTGTTTTTCAAAATACTGTGTGTGCCAAACTACTATTGAAGTTGTATGGCAGCTACCAGAAAGAGCCAAGAAATTTTAGCGAATTTTATCAAGCACATTAGCCGTACTAATATATTCACTTGTGTGAAATCTCAATATCACAGCTTTTATAGTTTCTGAGATATAGCCAAATAAATTTTGAAGTTTTATGGCAGCTACCCGAACCGGTACCCCGATCATGTCCAATTTAAATAGGGTTCTGGCACTTACTACAATAAATCATTTGTGAAAATTTAATGAACTTAGCTCAATTAGTTTTTGAGTTATCGTTGGGACGAACCGAAGAACGAACGGACTGACAAAGCTAAATCAACTCAGAATTTGACGCTGATCAAAAACGTACACTTGAGTCTATATCTAACACCGTTATTTTTTAGCGTTACAAACGGTAAGGCAAATATAGTATACCCTTCAAACATACGTTCGTACGGGTATAAAAAATCTATTTTAATTTAACATTCCTTTTGAACATGATTCTTTTCAAATGTTGTACAAGTAATAGAATATTCACATATACATACAAATATATACCATACACGTGTAGAAGAAATACACAGCCGAAGGATATAATAATCTATAGTTTACGAGGCGGAATAACTTACCAAATATCACTTGAAAAAACATATTGGCTTTTTAACACATTTTTGTTGTTTTTTTTTGTATTTTTACAATATTTAAGATTTATTTATGTTTGTGTGTGTGTATTGTCATAAATATCACAAATTTTCATCTTAATCGTTTGAAATTTACTGTCAGTGTGTAGTAAAATGAATATATTTCATGTAAGTTATTACTGAAATTCATATACTCTCTTACTTAGCTTCTTAATTTATTTGAAGTTTAAGTGCTTGCAAAGAGAACTATGAAGAAAGAGTATAAGTTGCCATCTCTTACGTAATATTTACTTCCATATTTTGTTAATTAAAATTTTAAAGAATGGTATTATGTGTATAATATAGTGGCATGACAGTCGAAGTTTTGTTCGGAGCCCTTGAAGCTTCTGAGAAATAATAGGGCTCGGCAGGAATC